GAGGGAGAAAAGAAAGGGAGGATCGCGCAACTGGCGACGGCCTCCGCGGGGGCGGATGGGTTTCTTTTTTTCCCCCTCCCCGGCCGATCCGGTCGCCGCCCGTCCCGGCCCGGCGGTGGCGGAAGCGACGACGACGAGGTTGCGGGGGTTAAAAAATGGCGGCGGGGGTGGGGGATGGAGGGGGGAGCGGAGTTTTTTAAACAGGGGAGGACGTGTGCAGCTGTGGGATGGGGCCCACCTGTCAGTCGCGGGCATTCTCGGCTCCGGTTCCTAGAAACGAACTCAACAGTAGTTCCCGTGGAGTTGGGGGGAAAAACAGTAGTTCCTGTGGGACCAGCTTGGGAGATGCTGACTTTTATCTCTTGTACCCCTGGCAGTTGCTGACTTGGTGCTACACTACAAGCTAGTTCTTTTGCGCGATTCCCCTCCCCAGCTTCTCCCAGCGGATTTTGAGAGAAGCTCGCCACTCATCGCCACTTCATATATGGAGTGGCGATTCTGGGAGAAGCTGGGAGGGGGGGCCGTTTCTGAAAGAATCATCCAAAAGAACTAGCCCTACATGGTTTGTGAACTTGCTCAAGTGTTGTTGCTTTTGACACTTTCTCTGACGCGACACTGTTGGAGCTTGGTGGCGAGGGCGAGCCTGCAATCGACACGAAGCGGAGGTAGACACCGAGTTGAAACCGATGATCTCACTGAAGAGGTTAGGGGCTGGTGGAGGGATCATCGGCACCCCGAGCACACTTCTGCTTCTTGGGCATAGAGCGAGGGGTAGATGGAGGTAATGGATCGACATGCTTGATAGCCCGCTATGACTTTGAGATGGGCAATGAGACCATGGCGGCGGAGTCGACTGGCCGACATGGGAAGATGATAGCGATCAGCTGGTGTAGAAGGAGGAGTCAATGAGGATCAAGATTGAAGGAACGACATCAAAGCCCTAGGGTAAGACAAGGGGTGGGTGAGCCATCAGAGATGAAAATAAAGATGATGGAGGTGGCAACGATTTGAACATTTTCTATAGACAAGTCTGACCCTCTTGAGGAACTCGAGACACGTATGCCCCTGTTCAAAACTGAATCAAAACCCGATCAGACAACCGCGGGTTACACTACTAGGGAAAAGCCTAGCCGTAGCGCTGGTTTTTGGCCTATCAGTAGCGCGGGTATGCGCGCTATTGATACGGTGCTACAGCTAAAGCTTAGCAGTAGCCCGTACTGGCACTCACTACTGCTATATCTACTTAGTAGTAGCGCTTTCCAAGCCAATCGCTACTGCTAATTACTAGTAGCGCTTTCGAAAACAACCGCTACTACTATTATTTTGTATTCCATTTCTTCTGAATTATAGGTCGTATTCATACATCTGTATACAATTTTTCATACAATAGCAATTTAGAGATTATTTTTACATCATAATGAGTTATTAAATCACTAGGTGAAAGAACCTTGGATTAGTTTCAAGTGCATGGATCCAAAGTAACCAATGGTCACTTTAGATCCATCCATTTGAAACTAATCCGCGGTTCTTTCACCCAATGACATAATAACTTATCATCATCATCATCATAATATCGTTAACAACTTATTATCATAATATATCATTGTCATATAACTCCTCATAATCATCATTTTCGTCCATGATGAGACATCATATAACAACTTCATCACTAGTTATAATAACAACTCCTCATCATCATCATAGTACTCATAATCACTACTCCTACTCAGCATCACCATCAAGTCTAAGACATTGTAGTCATATATAATCAACACTAACTAATTGTTCTTAATACTTAGGACCTACTCCTCTCTCCTAGCTAAAATACCCTAAAACAGATAAATCGGTCCTTCACCATAATGGAGAATGGACATAAACCTATCTCCAACTTGTGGCTTGCGCACATTCATTTTGTCTCCAATTATTTACGTGTGCGCATTCATCACTTTGCTCCATTCTTTGATTTTGAGCCTTCCATCATTTGAAGAAATCAAGTATGCAGTATGGTAAGCCTTCGAAGGAGTTGGTCGTAAGCTAACCACACTAGTAGAAAAAGGGGCAAATCTGAGACACATTAGTGTCGGTTTGATTTTGAGCCGACACTAATGTGTCCATTAGTGTCGGATCCAATGGCTAGCCGGCCGCTCTCATTAGTACCGGTTCGTGGCGAACCTTTAGCACCAGTTCGTGGCACGAACCGGTACTAAAGAGATTGGTGGCAGGATGTTGTCAGTTTGGGGCCCGTCCAGCACCTTTAGTACCGGTTCGTGCCACGAACCGGTACTAAAGGTCGACGTACATAAACCCTTTGTCCACCCGAGCCACTCTGTTCTTCCCCTTTCCCCTCACTTCCTCTGTTCTTCCCCTCTCTTCCTCGAGCTCCTCACAAATTTTGCCCAAAATTTGTTAAGATTTGAAGGCCCCCATCCATTCAAATGATCACAAAGGTTAGCAACTTTGTCCTTTCAACTCTCATTGCTAGATTAGTTGTTGCAATGCTTTGTATAGTGATTAATTCGGGAGGAATTATATTTGCTAGTATTTGATTTATATGCAATTAGAGGTCAAAAATAACACTTAGTTTGCATATGTAGGTGTGGTTTACTTAGTGCCTTCTAAATCTCGGTCGTAACCACCGTCGATCGCCCGCACCGTCCCGTCGCCGGCACCACCTTGTGGTGAGGCTCTTGTTCATGAATGTTTTACATTACCAAATTGATGTTTGTGTGATTTGGATATATAGTTACTCGTATAATTGTCTTACCCGTACGTTGTTTGTTATACATAGTGCCATGGTTTTGATATCCGTCCCCGTCGGCCCTCGTCCTTGTTATGATTCGGATGTGGTATATTCTCTTTTAAAACTAGTTGTTGCATTTCGTGTTTATGACAAATTATGCCCATCAAGTTGACATAGATATTTTTATCTAGGAGGTATGTGAACCGGAAATTCCAACCGACCCTATTGTCGAGAGGTTAAATTTAGTTGAAAGAGAAAACGAGTATTTGAAAGAAATTTTGAAAAGAATTGAGAGGAAGAAGATGGAATTGGAGTTGCATGTTGCCGATGTCGTCGATGATCACAAGATCAAGATGGAGAAAATGAGGTTGAAGATTAGAAAGATTAGAAAATATGCCATTGATAGTGTGGCTTGGTATCATTATGTTGTTGGATCAATTGTTACCTTAGTTGCGATCTTGATCGCATTTGTTGTTGCATTTAAATTCTTTAGCTAGAGAGTTATTTGTATGTTGCATTTAATTAAGTGTTGTATATGAACTTTATGTATGAACTTGTATTAATTTGGTCTATTTGGTGTTGTGTATAATGAAGATATGAGCCGACAATGGATGTA